GATCAGATTCAGATCACATTTTTTGGTGATCAAGATCAATTACATTATCAAAAAGTGGGACCGGAATGCAACTTACACAAAAAAAATCAAAATCGACACGGTTCATGGTCGTACCTGTACGTACGATACGGTACGTACTTACGTACGCACCGCCAGTCAATTGATACTTACTCGGGACTCAAAAATCATGGCTTTACCTTCGCGCCGCCGTGGCTTCGCCATAATGCCTCGTTTTAGTTGTCCGGCTGGCAGTCCAGCGAGTCAATTGCTTGTTGATCAAATGAATCAAAACTAATTCAAACTTAGGGTTGAGGATGGAATCCAACGACTTTTAGTGTTTACCTCTTACTTCTTGTACCGAAATGGCGTGTAATCTGAAACGTAGAGGCAAATTTGTCGCACCGCACTGAAAACTTCATCGTGGCGCAAGCATCGGCCCATCGTCAAGTTGTATCACACGGCACCCTTCTACTACTAGTATCATTCTTGTTTACTGAATAGCATCTATACGACCATGGCGAATTCCAAGATCAAGAAGAGCAGCGGTGTAAGTTAAGACGAACAATGWCAATAGAACAAACGTGGTCGCAAGGGGGAGACTCTCGGCCCGTRGATCAATTGAGCAATGGTAGGCACAAATTCAGTAGCTGACATGTTGTCTTTGTTGTTCGTCACGTTGTTGCTGTTTAGGAACCCGACGCTTTCGAGCAACAAGTTGCCAATGAGCTTCTCAACCTCGAGATGACGTCGACTGAGCTCAAGGCATCGCTTCGAAACRTTTACATCACAGCTGCCAARGAGGTTGACTGTGGAAGTGGTCGCACTGCCATCATTCTTTACGTTCCGTTCAAGTTGCTGAAATCGGTCAACAAGATTCACCAGAAGCTTGTCCGTGAGCTTGAAAAGAAATTCTCCGGAAAGATCGTTATGATCATCGGACAACGCACGATTCTTGGAAAGGGATACACCCGTGACCAAAAGACCAGCGGTCCTCGTCCTCGATCCCGAACATTGACCGCCGTTCAAGATGCCATCTTGGACGATGTTGTCTACCCCACCGAAATCACCGGAAAGCGCACCCGAGTAAAGACCGATGGAAAGAGAATCATGAAGGTCTACCTTGACCCCAGAGACCAGGCCAACGTTGAGGGACGAACCGACACTTACGCCGCCGTCTACGGAAAGCTTACCAACAAGCAAGTTGTCTTCGAGTTTCAACAATAAACAATGAAATAAGAAACAATAGAGCAACCCCCTTTGAATATTGTCATAATGGGAGGTATTCCACGCACCCATTGCCGATTCTCGTGTTTGTYCGCTCCGTGGGAACCTGGTGTTTTGTGTCGCGTCGTTGAATCAGGACTGGAAGTTGTCTTTGTGTYWAATCCAAATTTGATGAAGTTCGAAKGAAACAATACGCCAGCTCCTCTAGGGAATACTTTATAATGGTTTGGAGGTTTTCCGTGAAGATTTGGATGTATGTGTYTCATTCGTCCGGAGTAYTGTAGTAGTTCGTTTCGTATCAATCGATGGTAGATAACGATGAAAAGMTTAGTCTTAGTTGGATGGCACAYGCCGAGGCTACWCTCTCGACGAGTTTATCCAGACAAGGAATTAAATCTAGAATAGTACKGTAGAATATCTGAAGTGTTCGGAAACTATCACGGATCCAGAATAACTTCCCTTTAGATATATCCTCTGTTCTTTCATTGTTATAGTGCCAGTCCAATAGGATATGAATGCGTACAATAACTGCGAAAGACAAAGGTGTATCGTAAAAGAACGCATATTTATAAGTTTGGTGTTGCGGTGCAATACCTGGTGGTCTYWAGTGTTTCGTTCGGYCTGGTTGCTGCCGGATTACGGGCTCGGGAACAAATCTGCAGCAGTTTTGTTGATGCCGGCTTTCTGCGTTTTTAGTGCTTCCCGCTCGGACCGCTTYGCGAGGCACTCCTCTGTCTTGGTCCAGCCGCAGCAGATCCGAAACCGTGGGTCGTCGTGGTCCTGCATGCAGGTCGGGACGTGGTCGAGGTCYCCCGCCCCGCATCCCTCGACMAGGTAATCGAACAGCAAGAGGTGGTGGTTGCTACAGCAATTCCCGACCGTGTACTTGGCGTAGAACTGCATCTTGAGCGACGCGAGCGAGGACAGAATGACTTCTTCCCGGTTGTGTTTGTAACCGGCMAGTGCTAGTTTTTGGGGGTTTCCGGTGTTGGGAAGCACATCGAACGGGTTCGTCACAAACCTGTAGGGAAAGGAAAGATGGCCGTGGTTTCCGCTGGCGGTTTGCTCCTCGAATTCTTTTTGCGCTTTCAGAACCTCCGGCGATTCRGTGGTCAGAATGATGTCGGTGTGCGGGTTCGGTGGCCCTGCAGCGGTCGTTGCCTGTATCTGATCCGAAGAACCTAGCGTCGTTCGATTGCGGTCGTCGGCGAGCTTTTGTGCGTTGGTCTCCCAAACGGTTTGCAGGAGCGACACGTAAGTCTCGAAGGACGGGCACTCGCTCTCGTCGATGCACTTGTCCGAGGCCCGGATCGGGAGCCCCAGCGCGAGGTCGGTCCTGTGGTTGACGCCCAGTGCGGCCTCCAGGACGGCGTCGATGCGCTCCGCGTATTCGAGCCTCGGCCGGAGCGCAAAAAAGACCATGGCGTGTTGGGCCCGGAAGTTCCGTCCAAAGTAGAAAAAGGAATCCCCAATGGCCTCGTCCTCTTCGAGGATGTGATCGGCCGCCTCGTASAGCAGGCGGAGGCGGGGATCGTCGGGATTTCTCTYTGCGAGCGGGTCGATCAGGAACCGCCTCGCGGTGTCCGAGAGCCTGCCGCGAAAGTTTGCGGGTTCCCGCKRCGGCCGGTCGATCATGTTCATCACCACGACGCGGTCGTTCCGGAAGTTTTCCGGGAGCTCCCCCGTTTTGAAGAGGGCCCGGCGCTCGGGCTTGCCCARAACGGCCGCGTTCTCCAGCTCGCGGAGGGTKGGGACGCAGGGCGTGTCCGGGAGAAAGAAGCATTGCTTGTCCCCCCGGGGGCACGACGCCAGGTCCCACCGTTCCCGGAGGAACCGTGGTCCCACCGGTGTRCCGTTCGCAAAGACCACGACCCGGTCGGTGGCGATGCCCGCCATGAGCGCCGRTGCGGCGACCAGCCGTGCCTGGCCGCCCAGGCCGCTGTGCTTGAGGGGGACCACCAGAAACCTCGCCGCGGGGCACTCAAAGTCGAAGGGCCCGACGCGGTTCGATGCCATGTCGCGCTCGCAGGCCTCCGGGTGCTTCGCCCGGTGCCCGGCTTCCTCGATGGCGTGTCGGTGTTGGTGAACGTGCACGGACAGGTACATGAGGCGCAGCGACAGAGCCCGGACCGTCCGGTTGTTGTAGGAAAACGGATCGGCCTCGGAACCGGGTCCAAAAGGCCCGTGGTCGTTCCCGATGCCGGCGCCTTGGCTCGCCGAGAACCGGAGATTCAAAAACCGGGAGCTCTCCGCGCACAGGGTTTGCCGCAGGATGGACCGGGAGTGCGTCTCGTCGCCGGAGAGGAGAGAGGGTATCCCCAGAATGGAAGACATTACGTAGTGGTTGTCGATGGAACGGGAGTCGCTGATGTTCTGGTTTCCCAAGCGTTCGGATTCCAACCAAGACCTTGAATTCAGKTGCCCMAGGCACCCATTGGTCTCGGTGGGTGCTACCGCCTCTTCCGCTTTGGTACGTGAGGGCTCCCTTCCCGGGGTGTCGGCACCACTGGTTGCCGGCGAGACGGAGGACGACGAGTSCTCCGTGTTGTTGCTTCGATCATTGCCGGGCACAGCGTGGTTCGCAGCCCGTGCTCCMGTTGGTGGTTCAGAGGCATCGATCCTCTCTGCGTTCGAGGCAYGGAGAGCCGGAGAGGTAGCATTCTTCCRTCGAGAGAGCCTATCCGTCGCTGCTATGGGCGGGCCAAACGACTGTTCCTCGTTCTCCCGCTGCTGTTGTTTCGGTGCCAGATCCGCAGACTTGTAGTGGAAGGTTACCGACGTCAACGAGACGAGTATGCTTCCGACGACGAGCAGGCTTATTGCGGCAGAAGACGTTGAMGACAAGTACTTTCCAAGCCTGCTTCTCTTCATCCTTTCGTTGCATCTGGTGTGCGGCATTTGGTTGTGCGGAATTCAACGAATAGCAAAGCTGCAGTGCTTCGAAGATGCTTGTTGGGTCTCCCGTAAACATGAAAACAACAGTACTTGGTACTTACCRGTAGGCCGTACCATGTAAGGTTTACTCGTACATTCCTCATACAGTAGTGGTATTACGTACCGTACGGTACATCATATGTCTGATACAGTATGTGTAACGCGCGACAGCAAAAAATATGGCGCGAATTCAACTCACAGAAACAAAGAAATCCGAAATCTGAGGAAACAAAAACAAAACAAAAACGAGATCAAGAACCAAATCGCAATCCAAACCAGAACCAAGCAACCTTTCCTTCTCCTCTYCCCTACGATACCCCATCCCCCCTTGTTTRTGTTTGGCCATCGGAGACGAATCTCGATCCGTTGTCCAGCTTAAAATCCTTTTTGAATTCCAACTGCAYCCAACCGAAGTGTCCACCCCAGATGCAGTTCSTTCGGACGACAACACGCCTGCACCAATCCACGGCGAGAGCGAGGTGTGCGCAGRCCGGGACCCTCTCTGTCCCGGCGGCGACGATTCCACAACCGCCGAGGCGCTGTGGTTCGAGCAGCGCCCGGGACCACTCCTACACCGAAGACTGGTACGAGCAAGTCCGAAAACCAAAGGAATTCTACGAGCGCTGTGCGAACGGAAGACCGCGGCGGTACTTCTACAACGTCGATCTCAGGGGGAGGCTCTTCCTGGAAGAGACGGTCCCAAAGAACGCCGCCGCTTCCATCAAGGACGAGGYTTTYCTGGACCGYTTCTTTTCCAGGATCCGTCGCACCGGSCCCGGGGACCTGCGGCTCGCCGGGAAATCGAACGCACCGGAGGTTCCCCCGGGGGACTACCCCTTCGTCTCTCGGTGCGGGCCGGAGATCAATTTCGTCCGGCCCGCGGCAACGCCGATCGTCTTTCACTCCCTGGTGGACGGAGCCCTGCTCTACGGGGGCAGCCTGCGGGTGCCCTTCGAGACCGATCGGCTCGTGGTGTCGAGGGKTTCCGGTAGGCTGTTTTACAGGATCTCCGGCGGCAGCGGCGGCAACGGGTTTGCGGACGGCCCCGCGGAAGCACCGGCCRCCGGGCTCGAATACGGCCTGATCTGTTCCTCCGTGGCGGTAGCCCTCTCCAACCGCATCGACACGGGTYCGGATATGGATGCAAAYCATCACTCCACRCAAGACACCGACCTCGACGATCGATTCGTGTACGACGGAGAGGGACCCATCGACTGGCTGCCCCCCGGTTGCGAACCGGGACCGTGGGCAATGCCGGACGAGCCGTGCGGCTAGCGAGCTACGAGTAYACCTTTCATCGACTGGTCGGAATGTTTTTCTTTTAATGTTAAGATATGCCATCTCCGTCGAATTCTTCGCCGTCGAGGTCGTCTCCATCGAGTATATCTCCATCGAGGTCTTCCCCATCGAGCTCCTCGCCGTCGAGRTCTTCACCATCGAGTTCTTCACCATCGAGGTCGACTCCATCGAGTTCCGCGCCATCGAGCTCTTCGCCATCGCGCTCTTCACCGCCAATAATGTCGGGGGATTTATTACCGTTGGATGTTCCTTCACTGCCCTSATTTTCTGCTGTACGAGCTGCATCTGTCTGYGCGGATAGAGTAGTCGCTGCAAGAGTTATAGCCAGCTTTGATCTTTTCCTCTTCTTGTCTTTTACAGATTCGATTTSGTCGGAAACCGTCTTCCAATCGCCACTCGGTGCGTGAATRACAGCGTCCTCTRGATCCTCGTCGACWTTCTGTTCTTCGAGCTTCGCACCGTCTTGTTCCAGATCCTTTTTGGCGTCCTCGGCCTCCCGTTTTACTTCTCTACCCTCGAAGTACGMTGCAAGATCGTCGACAAAGGCAGCATTGTAAACTCCCCATTCCGTCCAAGCACCGAGGACGGCCGAAACTGCCTTTCGCAGCTTGTTGACGGAAATTCTGCCAGAACTGCGCTCTTTGGTCCTCACAATGATGCCCAGTGACTTGAAAACGTCGATGGCCATGGCTTCGATCGTGGTTCTGTACATAAAGGCATTTCGAACCCCGGGCTGCTGCGAATTGAACAGAATGTCCGACAGGAGGTACAGCCTGGCAATCCGYGTATCGTTGGTGACGTGATCGGACTCGTCCAGCAGTGCTTCTTTGAGCAAACCAGAAACCTCCCGTGCTGCCATGCAATTGTCAAAACAGAACGACATTGCCTCGCAAATGGTTTTCCTGGAAATCGAGAGCTGCTTCCGCACTAGCCGATCGAATCGGCCGAGTTCTTCCGGGTTCAATTTGGAGTGGTTTGCCCCAAACTCCCCTCGGCGCTTCCGGCGTTCGAATTGTCTGCCGGTCATCAATTCTCGGTTCGCACGCTTCTCTTTTTGTTGCCGCTGGCGATATTCTTTCTCGGCTGCGTTCGCCTTTTCTCTTTTGACTGCATCCTTGTCTAATGGCGGTGGGATCCAATATCTCCCCCCATAGAACATGAGAAACTGAATAATAACATAAATAAGCATACAACATAAAATAGAAACACAAATAGAACGTCAAGACACCGGTAAAATCACTAGGAGACGAAATGAAATTTGAAACTAGCAACGATCGTCTTGAAATCTGTCTTACCGGTTCGGTTCTCCAAATAGAGTAAGTGTCTCCGTGACAATACGAATAGACCCGCCACCTATAAAATATTTTTTCTTTCTGACCTTCATCGTTATTATCACCACCGTCAAAATCTGCCAGAAAACRAAAGAGAGTATTTTCTTTTTCCCTWTCCCTCAAGCGTTGTTCGAGCTCTGGATCTTTTGCAACATATGACGCAGTTGTACTGATGAAGTGGAATCGAGATTGTTCTTTTGGACACTCTACGCGAATGGCTCTCGCAGCGTGAATATCTGGGTCGTATGGAGGAATCTTTGGTAGCATGTCCTTCATTCCTGYGGTATGATGTTTTCCAAAACTGTGCGCGTCACCAGCCWTAGATGCCTCTAACTTATCGTTGTTATTGCTCATCGGAGCACTTCGATCATTGGAAGGCATTTTGGCAGCCACTGCATCTGTGGACACCGACATCAATGGTCTTGCCATCTTTTTGTCTTCGTCTCTGTTTTGGGCCCTTCGTGGTTCTGCAGAACGTTCGTTGTCCTTGTCATTACGTCGCTGTAATTTCTTCACRCTTTTGCCCCAACGAAGTGTCAATARTCGACCATTATTGAATRGGTCAGTATCGTCGTATGCTTCCATAGCTTCTTCGGCATCATCGCGATTCATRAAACATACGAAGCCGGTGTTGCGTCCCCTATTTTTCTCCTCCAAGGTGCGAGGCCACATAATCTTTACTGAATACAACTGAAATTCACAACAGATAAACAGAATTGASAATCCGGGGAGAACATGTTAGCTATCGTCCTGCAGCAGCTTATAMYTTTAGGAGCCACCTGTGTTTTCACTTACTTCACCTAAAGTTTCAATATTATTAGTACAAGTCCAAATCAATTTACATACAACACATMACCAATGCGAGGTATAAAACAAAGCGCACAATCGATCATGAACAAATGCCTCGTTTCAGCACCATCCGAAAACACGCACCAAACTGCGAAAAGAGATTACTGAGATCCTAGATCATCAGTTCAGACAAAAAACGACCATTGATAAGTTGTGTTTACAAAGCAAAGCAGAACGGCCAACGTATTTTCTTTGGAACGAAACAGATATGACACATATGTGTACATCCTGTCGTGACAAAGTCTCAAAAAGGATTTCTTTTGTTTCTTTACCTCTTCTGCGATTGACGGAGCTAGATTCCCGACGAATAGATTCGTTGTCAAATGTTCCTCTCCCGGGTCCACAAAACTACCTTTCTTCTCTGGAACAAAMCGTTTCGACTTCTTTGGAATTTGATCTTTTTCAGCTTCCAATTCTTGAATCAAGGCATCCATTTTTGCCTTTCTGGTGTCGCTAGGCTTGTGATGACGTTTCATGGAAGATGTTACRGATAGTTTYGGTACTCGTTGTTTTTGTTGCTGCTGTTGTGAATTAGATACCGATRAAGATACTCCAGAACTTCCTTGCCCGTTGAACTTTCCGGTGCCATCAACTGTTACTAATGTAGAATTTACGTTTCTAATTGTTGTTGTTGCTTTAGTCCCATTRTTGGGAGGCGACGCCGTGTTGTTGCTACTGTTGTTTTGCTTGGCTTTCTTCTTCATGTTGGCCTTCTTGGATAAGGCCGAGAAYGCATCCTCCTCATCGTCCGAGGAAGARTCCTCTTCGTATTGCCCATGCCCTCTCCTTCGAATCATCGCTGCTGAGTTGGTTTAGCCAGTAGAAGTATTTGCTAATGGAGTTGCGTCGAATGATCCGACCGATGGAACTAGCGACGCCCGAAAACTGTATTCTGGAAGACAAGGTCCAAAAGTATCGAGATTGCAATCAAATTAAATAACKTTACCTTTTATCTTTTACATCTATTACGGTTAGAGTTATCAGGATTTCCCTCTTTTTCATACTGTATTGAAACTCAACCATTATGACTAATATATTACTGTAGTGCACTGGCTATTACTAGTATTACAAGTTCCAACATCCAACATGCCTGCAATGCAGCCCTTGTTATGTCAAAGGTTGTTGGTTGTTGGTTGTTGGTTGCTGGTTGCTGGTTCTATTACGGTTAGAGTTATCAGGATTTCCCTCTTTTTCATACTGTATTGAAACTCAACCATTATGACTAATATATTACTGTAGTGCACTGGCTATTACTAGTATTACAAGTTCCAACATCCAACATGCCTGCAATGCAGCCCTT